GCATGAAGCAAATGGTAACGGCTACAGGAATCTGCTACAAATAGAGGTGCCAGATTGTACGCCAACGAGGCCGTTAAAACTGCGACTTTGAACACGCGGTGGTGTGGCACTGCAAAATTTGTCTCACTCAAAACTTGTTCGTTTGGGCCTCCTATTTACTGACAAACTTAACATTTCCTTGCCGGGAAAGGTTTCGTTTACGTTAGAACGCATCTCTGATGTTGCTTTCACTTTGCTATAGGAGTAAGCTGGGATAACCGTTGGCTGCTACATGCTGGGATATGAGAGTATGAGGGATTTATTTCCTAACCCTGGCCAAACCCAGCTGAAAAAATAAGCCTCACCACAATAACAGCAGGCAAGTTTTGGTATTAAGAGGCTTTTTATAACAGCTACCTTCCCGTATAATGTCAACACGCGTCCTGGCAGCAGGTTGCATACTTTTCGCTCTGCTGGGGGTCAATTCAACCCCCCCTGAGATATCAAAAACTATAAGAGAGAAACACAAATTCACAGGGTTTGCTTGTCTGTACGTGAACTCCCTTCGGTCATAATTTCAAGTTCCCGAGTCATGACCTTCGGGTCAAATAAGGTCAAACAAGGTCAAACCTGACCCTTCATACCTGACCCTAGGTCAATGGACGTTGTTCATTCAATTGTTGTGCTGCTTAAGAAGGTGTCTAAGAGGTGCATAGCTCTGTCTAATACTCAGTCGTTGCATCAGACTGAATAATTCCCTAGAAATTCACTTCGCTGAATGCATGGCCTTGCATTGATCTGCCCTAGGTCAGCAAACAAGGTGCATCTAAATATTTGATGCAACGATCCGCTATTTAATTGTTTACAGCTGTACAAAATTTGGCGTGCCTATCCCGCGCCGTTTGGAAAGCGTTCCGGAAAAAAATCCTTGGGGCATCAAAGGTATGTGAAATACCTCATAAATTATAACTATATATCATATCATATATGTGTGAACAAAAAATGAAATAAATAAAAAGGCTAACTAAAGAAAATAAGAATTTGCCTGTTAAATACCATGGTGCATCTAAATTTTTGAAATCAAACGATATGCTTTTCAACAGTCTGCAGCCATGCAAAATTTGCGCCAAAGTTGTGCCACGCCGTTCGGAAACCATTTTAGAAAACCCTCAAGGGGGTCAATTTGAATCCCACTCGAGCACGTGTCAAGTTTCACTGGACAGCGTGTGTGGTGCATTTCGCCCACCTTCGGCAACCGAATTTACTTAAAGACATGTCGGCATTTGGGAAATAGACATTTTCCCCATATTTCGTACGTCTTAGGACACCTTTTAAACGTGAATAAATGAGTAATTTTTTGCGGAAGTTCTAGGCTTTAAACAATTCTCAGCACAAGCCTCCATCATCACACTCAGCCAAGCCCGCCTGTGAGAGAGCGGGAGAGCGAGAGCAAACACGAAGGAGAGAACGTGCCGAAGCGAAAAGGAAGTGAATGGCGTGTGGCCGCTTGGGAACAGCGGTGTTTGGGGGATGCTTGCGTGCATGTTGCATTTTAATAAAATGAATGGCACAGTGCAAGCTTTGAGCTCAATTTATGCATCTTTATTTTTTGATAACATTTGACAATCATTGCGACTGTGTTCTGATTTGTGGATGGAAAACGATGCTTACCCCTTCGTTTGCTAACAGCGCACTTAAATAACAGCGTGCATTGGCATGTCATAAGCGCTTTTGTACTGAGAAGACAGTCACAGATGGCGTGACCTGCACTTCGAACGGGGCTTGCTATCCCTTGTGACTGCTGTATCGGTGTTTGCACATGTGCACGTTGGACGTCCAGGCAGGCAACACAGATCACTGAGCTTGGGCGTTGTCTACAAGGGAGTCAAACGACCATAACCACCTCTCGCCTGCGCTTTATGTGCATTTGCCTTACTTGCCTGGCCTAGCAAAGCTTCCCTGTCATCTGTGGTCTCCCGAAAACTGAGAAACCGTCGACTTTTCACCTGACAAGCGCTGTCTCTCTAAAGACCCGTATAACGACTGTCTCAGTGTCGATATATTGTCGACAACACACTACGCACAGCCGGCCAACGCCGCCCAACAAGAACACCTCATTTGTAGACCAGCCTCTGACTGCGCCGCCCGCCCGGCAGTCAACAAGAATAGCCATCACGGCGTGCCGAAGACGTTTCGAAGTGTTCTTTACGCCTGGCTGCCAGATGCTGCCAGGTATTGCTGTTGTCACAAAGCGATTCCATGACGCCATCAGACGATGACGTGATGGGGCGCATTTTTGCACACTTTGAAGTTTTGCTACTTAGGGTCGTTTTTAAACCTTGAAAGCTTACCAGTAGTTACAAGTAAGCTTTTCCGACCATGTCTGATGCTTATCTCAATATCTTCAAATGTGGAACATTCCCCTTAAGCCTGAAGCCATCCTGATCCACCACACTTCCTAAAGCTTGACCGCAAATACTCCTGAAATGAGCATCGTAAGTCCACCTTTCAGAGCATTTTTCAATGAGATTTTCAGATATGCTCATTGAAACCAATCACATATATGCATATATATATATATATATATATATATATATATGTATTTGTATTTACATATACCTCTGAGGGCAATTTGATTTGAAACAGCTCCAGGTTTCTGGTGTCTGCGTTTTCTTAATGGGCAAACCATGACAAAAATGTCAATGGTATTTAGGAGGCAACGTGAATATTGCCTCAAAAGTAACATTCTCTAGCTACACTTATGACACTACCTGTCAGCAAGTGCACTCTAAAAATGCATTTCTCACTGCACTTACACACTCTGCCTTCATATTCTGAGTTGATCCCAAAATTTACTGAAACCAATACCACAATATAATTTTGCTCTGGTGCTGTCCCAACAAATCATTGTCAAATCTGGCCAAATTACAGTGTCTTTTTTCAAAAATGAATTTAAATGAATTTCACAATAATGCTGTCTCTACACTAACGCTTGATGACGAAGTTCTGAAATCAAGTGTGAGTTGCAGTAAACTCAACATCTTCACATGATAAAAGAGCAATGTTCATAATCCAGATACTCAGTGTCATGCCTCATTCACGGCCATACCCGCTACACATTTTGCTGAACAGGCATCTATACAAAGTTGGGTGTGCCCTACCTACATGCCTCGACCAAGGTATGTAGCTTCTACTAGCCTCTAGTTACTAGCCTCTACTCACACCTCATGCCACTCACCTGTCGCATGTTACATTCACATTTAGCTGCACTTACAAACTCCTCACAATCCCTCTGACGAAACACACACCGAGACACGAACCCAGGTGAAGGACACTTGAATGAAACTGCTCAATGCTGTAATGGCGTATCTTAAGGCAAGCCGCGCCAGTCTAACAAGAATGAAGTATGCACAGAAATAATATGGCATCATGAACGTCTAAATATTTTTCTGCATCGTATCTTTGTTGTCAATAAGAAGGGTATCTCAAGTTGCTGTAATGAATTAATTTCGTGATCTGATTCCTCCAATGAAAAGCAGATGTGCATCTCTGCTTGACGTCTATGTGACGTGATTTTGATCTTATTTATGTTGATTTTCTATCATGGACATGACGCAATACATAATATGATCAGTGGATTGGCGCATGAGCGCGACGCTTAAATATGAGAGCCTCTACTATGAGGTCCTATAATCGAACCCTGCGGGCATTCAACATGTATGATCCTAGGGGTGGATCAGCTCTCGCCTACCTTGACTATCTGCATACGGCCGGAAAGATATGATTCCAGCCAATTTAGGAGAGTTCCTGAAAGCCCCCAATAGTTCTTGCACTTGAGTAGGAGGCCCTTATGCCATAGGTTGTCAAAATATTTGCTTATGTCCAAGTAGATGGCTGTAAAGTCGTTGCCTCGGTCCAAAGGTGCATTAATTGATTGTTAATTAAATATGTTAGCTGAATACGTGTGCTTTGATTTTGGACGGTATCCAGTGTGTTTCTCAGAGAGCAGCCCATTCTCAGGGCATTGACAGGCGTCTCCCACGCTCGTGGGCCAGTGACCGTTGTTTTACCTCTGGCCATCCGTGTTGAAGTTGCGCACGCCGGCGTCGTTTTCGCGCTTTCGGTGGGACCTTTGTCGCGGAGTGCGCAGCCGTGGTGAGCTAACGTGTCCGAGCGCGGCACCAAGAGACGGAGGAGAGTGAAACGTTGTCGCGATAGTAAATCTCCTTAAGTGTAAGATCATGGTGAGGCTGACATCGCTGCAACACACGCCCGCGGTCGGCTGGAATGGCATAGGACTGATTGTGTATAAGTGTCCGATGGCTGATTAGGTCAGGCAAATTATGGTGACGGACAACAGTAACCGGCGCTGCTCTAACAAGCGCTCAATCCAGCGGACAAAACCGTTTTTACGAAATGGGAGGTAAACCAAATTAAAATGGTTACCATCGCCGCTTGACCGCACACACATGATCCGTCAGTAGCTAGGTGTATTATGTACCGAACACAAATACAGCTTGTACAGCAATGTGGGGAAAAGAGACACAACACCGGTACTATGTACCCGTCTTCTTGAGACTGATAATGAACAGCCATGTTGTGCTTGCCAGTCATGGAGCAAATACCAAAAGAATTTCCAACAGAGGGTAAAAATGTACACCAGTCTCACAAATGTTCCATAACAGGATATGTACTTCAATAAGTGCAGCCATTGCACCTTGTCATTTCTCCCATTAGTCTCATAATTCCCACCCGTGACCATTTTGTTCGTTAGTTATTGGGTTCTAAAGGCCCGTCAACTGCATTGGTTATTTGTGCCCATCCATAACCATATCGATGCAAAGCTTGCCAAAAAATCTAACACCTTTATTACAAGAGCCACTGAACAGATGTCGCCCACCTCAGACAAACTGGGTCTCCAAATTTATCCAGCGCCATCTCCCGTTGTCTCCCATCTACCGCTCTCGCCATCAGCCGTCCCAAAGCCGCACAGAACGAACGCTGTCATCAGTGGGCCGCGATCAGGGCGACACCGGCTTGCGCGCCATTAGCAGGAAGTAGGGAAACCGAAGGGTGATAGCAACGTCGTCAACTTCAACTTCAACTTCCGGCTCGCCGTTGGAGAACACAGCATGGAATCTGGGGCAACAGCGAAAAGGTTAGTTTTTTTTCTGTGATCAGTTACGCAATCGCAGACGTCTCATCAATTAGGGTTACCGATATCCACAGCTTTTTTCGAAGCGCCCGTTTCGCCAGCCATTGTAAAAGGCATCCTTGTAACGTCTATGTATGCAATATGTTAAGCACGACATTACAGTTCAATACAATACAAAACGAATGCATGTTGAACTGTTCACATCCTGAAACGAGCACTTTTTCGTTGGTTTCCCGCTTTCCATGCATTCTAATTGTGATTTGATTTTATGATCTTTGCCGCCCGGGTGCATTGTTCCTCAGGACGTAGCCCTCTCCACTCTCTCTCTCTCTCTCTCTCTCTCTCTCTCTCTCTCTCTCTCTCTCTCTCTCTCTCTCTCTCTCTCTCTCTCTCTCTCTCTCTCTCTCTCTCTCTCTCTCTCTCTCTCTCTCTCTCTCTCTCTCTCTCTCTCTCTCTCTCTCTCTCTCTCCTCTCTCTCTCTCTCTCTCTCTCTCTCTCTCTCTCTCTCTCTTTCTCTCTCTCTCTCTCTCTCTCCTCTCTCTCTCTCTCTCTCTCTCTCTCTCTCTCTCTCTCTCTCTCTCTCTCTCTCTCTCTCTCTCTCTCTCTCTCTCTCTCTCTCTCTCTCTCTCTCTCTCTCTCTCTCTCTCTCTCTTTCTCTCCTCTCTCTCTCTCTCTCAAATAGGACACAATAGAGAAATATAGATTAGCATTGGCTCTGAGCCCACAGATCCATCCGTTCAAAAACTTCATATTAAATGTACAAACAAGCTCGATACGAATAACACCAGAATATTCAGCAATACCGCTTCGCTGGCCGCCGCTGCTCACCGCTCCCTTGTCTGTTGCAGGAAGGTCTCGCCTCGCTCGGCGCCGCAGCGGTTCACCATAGTTTGGAAGGAACTCAACGTTCTGATGAAGCCCAGCAGGCCGTCCAGCGTCAGCGTCTGCTCCTGGTAGTGACTCTCGTCCCTGCAGCCGCGGTCGGAGTCCGTCAGCCGCGCGGCACAGGATCATGGGCCGGCGGCAAAGCGGGGTCAGAGAGCCTGCCAGACGTGGCTAAAAATAGCAAAAATCGACCTGAAGTCTGGTCAGTAGCCTCACCTTTTCCGACAAAAGCCATGAAACCTAGAAACCGTATCCTGTCATAGTCTAATACTACGGCATGTTTAAGCACTGGTAAATGGTCTACAAAAAAATCATACGTGCTTAAGGTTTTGTAGAGATTGATCGCGTTGTCCTGAGCTAGGTCATTGACTTTTGGTTGACGAAGACCTAAAATTGACACAAAGAATGTCAACTTAGAGATGGATCAACGGGATGTGATATACAGGTACTAAAAATCGTGTTGCTGCAATCGTTCATACTTGACCTGTGCTCTGAAAACCGAACAGGGAAGTTAACTTCCCTCGGCCGGGCGCAGTTCAAGTGCGTGTGTTTGACAAACATCAAATGACACGTTACAGCTGAGCGCCACTGCGAGGGACCCACATTACGTTACACTTTAATACCACCCCACACAGGGCAACACCGCCTTCTTCCCGGCGGTGCTTCGCTCGTGCTGGCGCTGCCACGTGACGCATCCTGCCGACCCTCACGGGCCTGTTCACCGGCGGTGCAGCCGAGACCCACCTGACCTCACCCGGGTAGGGGAGCTGGTAGCGTGGGTCGCTGTACCGGTCCTCCACGTCCTTCCGGATGTGACCCCAATCCCTGCCAATGGTCTCACGAGCCTGTCAGTGCACAACCTGGCGAGATTAGACGCCTCCCAGAAGAAGAGAGCCGTGTGATAGGCTTACTGCTCTACTTAAATTCTCTGATTGCGCGCTGCACAATCGGTGGGAAATTACAATGCTCCGTCGAAAACAAAACGCATGCTAAGGGGACAGAGAACTTCGCTGCACTGCACATTCCGAGATCTAGTTAGACCCTGGCTCGCTTTCACGTCCGAAATGTCAGGAATTCGAAGGTCAGGATGTGGCTTTTCGGCGGCCGCAACTCACCTCCATCCAAATGCGATTAAGCTCGGTCGCAAACACACCGTTGTGGTACACCTTGGGCGTGCTGAGGCTGTAGATAGCAATAATTCCGTCTGGCGCTAACACGCGGTCTGCCTCCGCGAAGAAGCGGGGCATGTCAAAATAGTGACAGCACGTGCAGGCGGTGACCAGCTGCACGGACTCGGCGGGCATCGGCATCTCCTCGGCGGCAGATACCCTGGCGACAAGAAAAGAGAAATCGAACTGATTTTTCGTGACACCAGGGAGTAACGCTAAACGGAGATTTCATGATGCAAGCAAGCGAGGTAGAACGAGTTAGAGGTAGACTACCTGACGACAGGGAACAGGCACAAGTGACTCCCTGGCGAGTGGGAGCGAGGGGAGCAAGGACTCCCTGACAGCGGGAACCGGGTGAGAACGGCAACACTTTAAGGGGGTGCTCCAAATATGCTTGGGGTTTTGAAATGAAAAAACCATGTTGAAGACCTTTCAGTGCTGTTCACAATGATGCCTTTCTTAAGACCTAGCCCCTTCTAGCCTCTGAGCTAAACGCTCGCGAAAATGGAGAAAGATGCATCGGGGAGGGTATTTCAAAAACACTTTGGCATTCACAACGTCAAAATAACGTCATTTAGATCCTAACATTCCATAATATATGCGGCGCCCAAAGGCCGAGGCGTTCATGTTTGGCGTTCGTGAGGGCGATTTCCAAACATAACGGCCGTCTATTCGCTCTCAATCTATGCTGTGTAAGGTACAATGATGCAATCAGACCATCGCACATTGAAAAGCAGATCTACTAAACAAAGAGTTGTGTTGTCTAGGGCACTCTTTTCTGCTTAAAAGGTATATCGATAGTTATAAGTGTGCTTTTATATCATGTCTGGCGTTTGTTTCAATATCTTCGAATGTGAAACATTGCTTTAAGCAGCAGGGAGAGTTCTGGAGAAATGGTCTTACATTCGGCGACAGCATCGCACAGAGCAACGCGTATGATGACCGGCCAGCACTGCCCGTATTAAAAAAGTAGCTGCCCTTGTTGCTGTTTTTGTAGCTGTCATTAGTGGTTGTGTGCCATTAACTCTCGTTCCTGCGCAGCGATAGGCTTGTTCCCGAGCGCTGGTGGACATCGCCATCATCGGGTGGTGGAGATCCTGACACAAAAATTAATTTTAGGATTGGAAGGAATTAAATTCACTTGGGGTCAGGTATGAGGGCCACACGGAGGTCGAAACCAGCGTGTTTTTATTCGGGAGCTTGCTGTTTGGGGTAGGATCTGGTGCCCATTTTAAGTTGTTCATTACAGAAACTACATCAGACGTCTTCCATGAACTTCTTAGTGGTGAAAATAGCTCACTGACATAAGATGACCTAGGTTAACATTTTGTGTTTAGAAACATGCCGTCAAGGGGAGCCATCAAAACGTGCAAAAATTGCGGCGTCCGGTGCTTATATTGTCCAAGATCGCAACATCCAGCGTTCACAACGCGCAGCATGCGTCTTATTCAGTGTCAGTTGGAGCATTTGTAAGGTCCAGGCACACAACGTCCTGAGTCGCCAAGTCTAGAATCGTGAGGACCGGTGTACAAAACGTCCAGCGGCCCCGGCACTCAGGTTAGTTTGGATTCCTGCCTTTAGATGACACTGCATAGACATTTTTGACTGCTGGTATTTTCCTCTTTTGTCAACAGATGGTACAGTTAACCTGGCATCCCACCGATGATCACGTGATGCGCGCAGTGGAGCATGGCTATTACAAGTCACCTAGACGCCTGGCGGCCGTGTCCGGCCTGGGCACGGCCGCGCACCGGGGCTCACCGACGGACTGGGAGCAGGCGCGCCAGGCGCACCGTCCGGGGCGCCTGCGCGGCCGGAGACGCGGCAGGCGGCGCGGGACAGGCGGGCCCTCCCGCCCCGCCACTGCTGCCGGGGCCCTATATGCCGGGTTACGTTCGGTTGCTCAGGGCCCTTCATATTGATATTGGGCTCTTTCCGCTTGCTTGGGGGACCCCATGCTGTCGCTAGGGCCCATATAAGGTAACGTATCGAGGCACTCGATACTTAGCGGCCCTCTTCACTGATCTATGGCTCTTTTCCTTTGAGGTTATTTACTGAGGACCATGTACATTGATCTTGGGTGTTCATTCCACTTTGCTCATACGATCCTGTGCTCTGCCCAGACCCCATAGGTAAGCCTGCCGAGGGACTCGCAATCATCCAGAGTCCCCACCACATTGGTGTTACGTTCGTCTCGCTTGATGAGAACCCTTCACTGTTGACGGGAGCCTCTTTGCTGGCCTGCCGCGGCATTTTCGATCGCTCAGGTGCTGTTCTTGTTGCTCTCGGGTATTCCCACATTATACGAGGACCTACGCCATTTGCAGGGACCAAATCTTAATAAGTTTGATAGGGGCTTTACGTCTTTTCGACTGATGACTGGATTTGTGCCTATGTATATTACGCCGATGCGTTTGTACTTGCAATGGTCGAGCATAATTTTGCGCGTCGCCGACGTTGCGCATATTACTTCCGTTGCTGATTAAATTGTGACAGTTGTTGTATTTGTACCTTAGGTTTTTAAAATATTTTAACACGCGCCCGGGTGGCCGGCTAGATACCCTTCCCTCGGGTGAGGGGATCAATTCGACCCCCCCCCCCCCCCCACCCATTGAGATCGCGGGCACTAAGAGAGCAAACATAAAATGTACAGACACCAAATTTACAGGGTGTGTTGACCTGTACCTGAGCTCACTTCGGTAAAAGTTTGAGGTTCCTAGGTCATGACCTTCAGGTATAATATAAGGTCAAAAATTCAAATTCCATGCTGGTCTCCAAAGTGCCGCAGAACCTAGCTAACTCTTTCTAAGCAAAAGGTCTCATGCTCAGTTAAGGTCAGTGACCTTGATTGACCTTTTGAAGGTAGCGGTGACCAAAATCATACAAGACTGCTCTGGGTTTCCCATTTGAATAAGCGACTATTTGATTTTGATAGTATTAAGCAGCCAATTTACGCGTACGTTGCCATGTTTTCTCCAAAGTACGTAGCTTCAACATGACAGGATCCACCATGATCTGGAGAAGATGAACAAGTTCCATGCGTCTGCATGCGTATCACGCCTAGTTTTCTAGGGCTCCGCACAGCAAGCTAGGCTCCCGTACACAAACTGTGTACATGAGAATATTAAAAGTCGAAGGCCTGAGAGCGAGGATTTTTGGTGGATGGAGCCTCGAAGTCTAGGGAGCTCATAAAGTAAAGGGCCTTTTCCAGCTTTTTAGCATTTTCTCGGTGTAGATGTGTGGCGATGCAGTTGCCGTGTAGTTTACTGCTTCCGATCACTTCGATTAGGTGTCTTTTTAGTTCTGGCCAGTGCTTGTGTTCGAATCGCACAGAACGCTTAACAATGGTGCAAACATACATACATGTATAATATATATATATATATGTATATATATATATATACATATATATATGTATATATATATATACATATATATATGTATATATATATATGTGTGCATATATACTCTTTTTTGACGACAGACAGATGAAGCTCTCAGAACTTCCACAGCATATGACTGGTGAATGGCTGTTTCATATATCTGGCTCTCCATTGGATGGCACTCACTGCCGTTTTGGCTTGGCAACAACAGACAATGCCTTAGCCGTTCGGAGGACAGAAATTAGCACCACGTACTGTGAATAACACAATCAACACACCAAATTATAACACCGCGTGCCAATCACTCGCGCAATTCATCAGTGTCTTGTTTCCTGTCCAAGGGATTTATTTGTGATGTTGCCCCAAAGAGACAATTTAATATTTCGATTCATTTGTTTGCTTAGAAGTCTTTTGTGGTCATAAATGAGTAATGCACCCAGAATGTTGAGTTTTCTTGCTTCATGTGTGGATGACAGAATTACAGTGCTTTGTGCAAGTGTTTGGCGCGGGAGGAGAGAGTTGCGGCTGGGATACATATGATTCCTTGATGCCCCCTCCATGAGGTGCTCTGTGAGACGTCAGAACAAAAATGTTGTACTTACACCATTGTAGGATACGCAACCTTGCAGCATCACCTGGCAGCGGTCAACAGACGGATGGAAATGATCACGCATGGAAAATCAGTACTTTCCAACGCTTTATGGAATCAATTGGTATGCGTGTGAAAGGTGTTCCGGGCCGGATGTTTCACTTGTGCAATTTTTAGATTGGTTATCAGGACGGATTACCACATGGAGCATAACGAATGCAAGGCACAGTGGCGTAATCTACCATGCTCTTAATGCTGCAACTGCTAATTCCGTTCAGAGAATCAACTGGTCAGCCCACTGAGTTGCATTTGCAAACGTTCTGGTCAGCAACTGGAGGGCATTCCATCCCATCCTGGGTACGGTACAAAGCTGCCTCTATTCTGGCCATAGCCCCCGGGGCCGTACGGAGACCCTCAGAAGGATGCATGGCAACTGGTTCCCTCTTCGATGCTGCTGGCCCTCTGACTGAGACATCCAGTAGCGGATCGGCGCAGGGGCCCTCGCTGATGCAGACTGTTAACTGGCACGGACAGATCAATAAATGGTGCCGAGACCCTAATTCGCCTTATCGGCCCCTGGTCCCAACGGTGCGGACAATCCCTCGTACGGTACTGGTGTCCCTGACTGGCACAGGCCTCCCCATTGTCTCATTGTACATGTGAACCCTTTCATTGTCATTTCCGATAAATCCTTTTATTGTCAGGAGAGGCCAGACCAGCGCAATAGGCCCTTTGACAAACGGAGCCCCAAGAGCGTCCCTAAGCAGCAAATGTGCTCCTGGCCGACCTGGGGTTCACTGGCGACACATGGTCCCCTGCTAGGTACTGTGGTCACTGACCAGCACTGTGGGTCCTTCATTGTTTTAGGTGTCCCGGCGAATGCAGGATGCCTTCTGATTGACATTTAGAGACCCTGGCCTTGTCTGTGCTCGGGAAATGACCCATAGGCCCAAGAATGGCACGGAACGGACTGTTCGATATTGCTGTTCTCAGTCAGTTGCCTCAACTAGAGACACAGTCGCACGTGGCCTCCGATCAGTTCTAGAGCTACTTTTACATTTTAGAGTCCGGCCTTCCGGCTGTGATCCCTCCATACGACTTCTAGCCTGCCCTTGGGACTCTTTAATCGGGCCCTTGATCTTCGGCCCCAAGGGACCAAAAGACGCTTGGGACTCATGGGACTCTCGG